AAAATAATGTGTCTTTAGTGGATACAAATATTTGCCATTCTTCAGTAGCATCATCTTCTTCTATAAAATCTGTAAATCCCTGGGAAGGATTACAGATTTCTAAGAACAACAAGTGCACTTTTAATTTCCATGTTCATTATCATGAAAATGAATTTTAGTATAAGACATTATGTATTTTTATCCTTACTTGTGTTATTGTTCAATAAAATTTGTTATTAAATAGTAGTGTTTATTGCTCTAAAAAATCTGCAGTATGACGAAAAATCTAGAACGCAACACGGCCGATAACAAATAACGGCCTTGGCTGCTTATGATCCTCGGCTATCGCCTCGGATCACAAACTTCAGCCCGGCCGTTATTTGTTGTTTATCGGCCTTATTACGTTAATAACTATTTCTTGCATTTTAGCTTTTATTTATTACTTGTCAAAGATTAGATGTCAAAGAATTTAGATACGTTAATTTGACTTACCTACTTCAGTAGCGTATCGGATGTTTGTGGTAATAAATACTTATTATAACTTATCTATTTTTATTAGAATTATATATTTTTATAACAATATTAATAACTACCAACATTTATTCACAACGTAAAATAAAACAACAAATTATTGAGTCTACCCCACGTCTGCCCTACATCATAGTTTTACATTTTTTAAATAAAATTAGAACGACACTGATAAACCGGAATTTAAGTCGGCCATATTTGAGGCCCATCGCGGTGTACCTAAGATTTTTGATATGCTCCTTCCTTAGTCTTCTTATTCAAAGGTTTTACATCACTTGAACTTGACGTTTGAAGTCATAAGCTACTGGTTACAATCAAGAAAAATATAGGCTTTATAACTAAATCTTAAATAACTTACAAACGATTAATTTTAGGTATCGGAACATGTATAGTCAAAAAGTAACGAATTGAAAAGCCTTTTCACTAGTGAAATAAAAAAGTAGGTTTTCATTTGAAAAAAATGATTTATGATAATTTTTTAATCGCTAAATTCCATGACAGCTGTGGCCGTTATGATATGACATTCAAACAATTTAATTTTTGAAATAGATAGCTACATGTCTTCTTTTCATGCCACAGTGGCTGTGGTAATCGTTAAATTTGTCATTTAGGCTATACAAATTTTTGCAGTTTTTTTGTCCAAAAATTTTAAATATTTTTTTTCTCTAAAACGGTTAATGTTAGGTATAGAGTGTTTAATATCAAAATTCATAAAATTTTACAGAGAATTGAAGTATCTAATAAAAAATGGGGGCACCCATTTAAAATAAGAAAGTTGCTGTCAACTTCCGGTATTTGCGGAAGTGCCGCCATATTGAAAATATTTTTAATCGATAGATCTCGTTGTGAAACAATGAAGTGCAAAAAATCTCCGATCAAGATATTGTAGTTCTCTAGAAACTCCTAATGCACGCTCAGCCTGGGACACCCTGTATAAGTTAGACCTTCTGAAGATATTAAAATATTTACTTTTTTATTTTTATTTTTAGACTTTTCACAAATGAAATTTCGTTACACTTTTAGAGTAATTATATAAAAAATGTTTTGTATAGATAGATAGATATTGCTTTATTTATTTCCTTAATGTATAATACAAAAAGAAACCCAAAAAAGGGCATGTAAACAATGTCAGTAAAAAATTTTAAAAGAAAATAACTGCATATTTCAACAAAAAATGAACTATATGAACAAAAATAAATAGTAATATTAAAATTAAATATTTTATGAAAATAATACGAGTACTAATAATGAATTAACTCTATGTATGTATAGACAGATAACAACACAAAATTATACTTACAATAAATATCAAATTTAGATCAAATGATACAAAACAAAAGTAAAAATATACTCCCTATTTAAACCCGTGTATGCCGGTTGTTTACGATATTCTCCGATGGTAGCAGCACCGGCGGAAAATGCACAAAGCCTATACAAATTTGGATATTTAAAATAAGCTTCATAAACATTTTTTTTTATTTACTGACATTTCTTTCAATAACCACAGCCCACAGATGTTTTTCAAACACTTGAATAAAATAGTTATTCTTCTGATATCACATAACTTTTGTGACATACCATAATTACAATTTTTTTTAATTACAATATTACAATTATAGTTCTGAAAACTAGGTCATTAATTTACTGACGCAAATTTTAAACATTTCCGCATTAGTTTTTTCATAAAGTAACGCGGTGTTTTGAGAAGTCGTTAGAAAATGATTTACTGGTAATAATTGTTGAGTTTTTACGTTTTGGTTTAATTTTACACCTTTTTTAATAAATGAACACGATTCCTGAAAATATATCTGTCATTATTGTCACCAAATTAACCAGCGCAAAAAGGCTGGTTTATCTGGTTCGTTTGTTCATTTTTTCCATAGCAGCTGTTAAAATTGTCTTATATCTATCAAAAATAGTAGATAAAATAGTACTTTAACCCCAAGGGTAGATTAAATGATACTTTAACAACGAGGATAGGTTAAAAACTTTATTTCTCCTCGCACGTTTTTTAATTTTTGAAAATTTTTATATTCCTTTTCATAAGTTATTCGGAATTTAGATGGAAGTAGTTTGGATATGACGTTTGTCGCCTCAGCCTGAATATCTGTTGGTAATTTACTTATTTCGTTTTGAGCCATTTTGGCTCCAATTCAATCAGCAATCGACACGAAAGAGAATTAAAAATATTGACTCAAAGCTGACAACTAAAGAGACAGCTTTATTTACTTGTCAAATTACATAGAAATCAACTCCAACCCAGCACAATACTTTTTTTACCCGTAATAAATTCCTTGAAATAATAATTTCTGAATATTTTTGAAACGTAACTGGCTATGGAAAAAATATTGTATTATACACGACGATAAAATTGCATTATCGTTTCCCGAAATTAATTCACTGGCGATTTCATCCCTCGTGAATTAATCTTTTCGGTCGACGATAAAATACCATTTTTTATCGTCTTGTATAAAAAATAACTGGAGGAAACATTATGAAAACCTATTAATAGAACAACGACGACAGTTTTTACAAAACAATGAAGCCGTCACTATTACAGAAGCTAGAACAAATATATCGATCGAGGAAGTTAAACAAGCCTTGGTGTCTATGAAAAACGGTAGAGCTCCAGGACCGGGTAGTATTATGGCTGAAATGCTAAAATATGGCGGAGAATGTATTATAACAGAAATAACAAACTTAATGCAGATGTGTGTAGATCGGAATAAAATACCTAATGATAAGTTAGCCTATATCACTTCTATATATAAAAAAGGGAACAGAAAAGACCCGAATAACTACAGAGGTCTTAGTGTGAATTGCACCTTCAGCAGACTTTTTACAAAAATAATTAGAAATAAGTTAGAAATATCTACTTACAATGAAATCAGTGAAGAACAGAGTGGCTTTACTGCAGGGCGTTCATGTATAGATAATCTATTTACTATCCAACAACGGAATTCACGTGAAGAAGATACATATCTAGCTTTTGTAGACCTTCAAAAAGCTTACGACTCCCCAGAGTTAAACTATGGTACATACTGGAACAACTTGATGTGGATATATGTCTCATAAATTTAATTAAGGTGCTGTACAACAACAACACAGCTCATGTTAAGAGCGGTAACCGACTGTCTGACGTAATTTTTACGACCAAAGACCTTCGACAGGGATGTCCTCTGTCGCCTCTTTTATTTAATCTGTATTTGGAAGTGGTTCTTAGGGACTGGAAAAAGTCCAGAGACTAGCATGTGTTTGCATCACAGGAGCCATGAGAACCTGTCCAACAGCAGCAATGGAGGTCATTCTAGATCTAACACCACTGCACATTGTCATTGGTAGATATGCCAATGCGACAATGATTAGAATGGTCACTAACGGAATTAGTACTGGGAGAATTGTCAGATCAGGGGCTTGGAATACCCTCAAAAAGGAAATACAACTCATGCAACTCCCAGTGGACGATATGCCAAGAACGTACAACTTTGAGAAACATCTCAATGTAGTATTGAGCAATAAAAAGGATTGGAAGAGCGAAACGCTTGCCCAGCAGTTAAAAAACCATACCATAACTTGGTATACTGATGCTTCCAAAACCAATACGGGAATAGGGATCGGAGTGTTTGGGCCGAAAGCTAAATACTCCGAACCAATGGGCACTTACCCTAGTATCCTACAGGCAGAAATCTACGCTATCGAAAGATGCGTACAACTTATCTTCGATAGGAACTATCGGAAACAAGAAATAGCCATCTTGTCTGATAGTCAAGCAGCGTTAAAGGCGATCAACTCAGTATCAATCAATTCGAAATTGGTCAAAGAATGCATAGAGAAGCTGAATAAATTAGGCAAAGAAAACAAAGTCCTCCTACACTGGGTGCCTGCTCACCAAGGGATAGAAGGCAATGAAAAAGCAAATAATCTAGCTAGGAAAGCAGCGAACACTCCACTAACTGAACCAGAACCGTTCTGCTTTCCAAGTGGTAACCAACTCAAGGCGGAACTCAAGAACTTGGAAGATTCCATCCGCAACCTGGAATGGAAATTTTCCAATGGTCTAAGACACTCGAAGAAGTTTCTGAGGGCTTATGATGAAGAAAAATCACAGATCTTCCTGGGTCTGAGTAAGAACAATCTTCGGATTGTCACGGGGTTTTTAACAGGACACTGTCTCCTCAACGAACACCTCAGTAGATTGAAACTAAGAAGAAACGGCGAATGCAGATTCTGTGGGGAAGATGGGGAAACACCAGTACACCTCATCACTGAGTGCGCCGAGACGACAACCATTCGTGCCATGAATTTTGGTACGACTGATATTGGAGATGGAGAACTATCCTCTATAAAACCGTCCCAGATACTGGCTTTTGTCAAAGCCCTGGGACTGTATGATGAGTTATGATTCAAGAAAGGGGACACAATGGATCTGTAAGGTTGAAGTGATTAACCCCCCTCCCACTCATTCTAGGGACTGGAAGAAGAGGTGTGGGGGAATGGGCGTCCCTATAGGAGATGACTGTTTGGTTACATTGAATTTTGCCGATGATCAGGTGGTCATAGCTCAAGATGCTTCCGACCTTGAATTCATGATGAGCAGATTAAATTCGGCATACACGGAATGGGGCCTTACTGTGAACATTGATAAAACGGAATATCTAGTGACCAATTCAGATGATAAATTTGACATTATTATTACTGACAATGTAAAGCTCAGACAGGTTGAATGGTTTAAATATTTGGGGGCACGTATAACCAAAAAGGGACTGGACAAAACAGAAGTATCGGCTAGAATAGAACAAGGGCGGAAGATTATAGGAGCACTGAATGGCATCTGGTGGGACAAAAACATAAGACCAAACACAAAAGTACATATTGGAAGAGCCCTAGTGGAGTCGGTAGTAACTTATGGGTGTGAAGTTTGGACCTTAAACGCTGAACAAAAGCGAGCTTTGAATGCACTCGAAATGGACTATTTGAGACGCAGTGCGGGAGTACCTAAACTGGACAGAGTTAGGAACGTGGAAATCAGAGCCAAAATGGATGCCACAGAGACAATAGTGGATAGAGTCGAACAGAGGGGCCTTAAGTGGTTTGGACACTTGCTACGCATGGAACACCAAAGATGGCCCTACCGTATCTACAGCTGGTCACCTCCTGGAAAAAGGAAAAGAGGACGGCCTAGAAGATCTTGGAATGAGGCCATCAGAAGGGCAATGGAGGACCGTAACTTGGAAGAGGAAGATGTTCTTGATCGTAACAGGTGGCGGTTAGGCGTGGGGATGCGACGTTATATATATATAAAAAATAACTATTTTTGCATAAACATTAACTTTCTGACAAGTTTAACGATCAGTTACAAAGTTACGTGTTTGCCAGAATTTCAATGTAAAGACATCGAGTTGGCGAGTCATCAACTCGAGGGAGGAGGGCCATGGTCAGATCCTCACAATAGGAATTAACCTGAAATCCAAGGAAGCAATAGAAAATGAGAGATATATCCTCTATTATAGATCCGGGACATTATATTTGTTAGTAGCAGTTTCTAAGGACTTGACTTATCAACCTCTAGAATAGCCTATTATGCCCTTTTTGAGTCACATCTTCGTTATGCCCTTCCATTCTGGGGTACTTGCTGCGCAACAAAATTTGATCGTATTTTCAAACTTCAAAAGAGAGCAGTTCGATATTTATTGGGACTGAGCAGTAGAACTCACTGCCAGAATTTCTTTAAAAATTTCAACATACTGACTCTTCTTTCTTTATTCATTTTTGAATCCGTTTGCTTAATCCGCAAGCACATATCTGCTATTCCCGAAAGGTCATCTCACAACTATCCATTTAGGAATGCGGAGCACGATCTTTATCTGCCAATCCCGAGCTCAGAACTAGCTAAAGGTTCAATACTTTACAATGCCAAAAAATGTACAATCATCTGCTTTGAATATCAAGTCGCTTTCATTCTTTCCCGCATTTCGCAAAGCTCTGAAAGCATACTTACCGGAGAGAGCCCTATATGCGGTAAACGACTTTTTGTTGATGTTTAATCATGAACAATTTTGAATTTTAAAATTTTGATCATCTCACACACTGGTCAAAGGTCGAGTATTTAATATTTTATAACTCTTAAAATTATATCCATTTACAATTTTCCTATTGTAAAATTTTATTGATACGCCTTTTTTTTTGTGTTCTGCTGTTAATGACTTATTTTTTTTTTGAATTGTATTATTTGTATATTTTTTGTGCTTTTGTTTGTTTTGTAAATGGTTTGTCGATGAAGCTATTTAGGCTTTTTTGCACAATATAGCGTTATTTTATTTTATTATTATTTCATAAATAAAACTACCTTCCCTAATTGGAAGAAAAATCAAAGTAAGTTTAAGGGCCTATTCACATCCCAAACATTTTCAGTTCTTTTGCCGTACCGTCTCAGTTTGATTTAGTTAATATCTATGACGGATCTTCCCCTAGGAGATGCAAGACCTTGTCGTTGGTGGGGAAGCTCCTGGTCAGGTGCTGGGGGGAATCCCCTCTAGCACTTGGCTTGGTCTAAGAAGCATCTCACTCATCGTCTTGTCCCTGACTGTAGTGTCGTGGCCAGGGAATTGCACCAAGGCATATAACGATACCGGACGGGGCTACGGACAGCCTCAACCTTGGGGCACCGGGGGCACCCCATTGTATTTACCCCTTACTTCTACATGCGGGGCTCTGTAGAAGTGGACCGACTGTCCCTAGCGACTCATAGGAACACTATGAGATCTGATAATAATAGTAATAAAAACATCATCGGTGAAGCTGTGGAGAAACCCTCTAGCGACACTGGGAACAGTAACAATGAAAGTTCCAAGGGGCCAAACCCAAAGAGAACTACAGGAGAGGTGGCTGACACTTGGGTGAGACCATCCTCCGCAAGTGGCATACAAGCTACCACCTCCTCCAAGGGTCGGGAGCCTACCTTCTACCTCTAAACCCAACAGGCGACACAAGCTACCGTTTCGTCTACCCGGCCTGGGTCGTAGCTCCTCGACTGTGAGGGACACGGGTCTCCGTAGGAAGTCCTGGGACTGTATGATGAGTTATAACTCAAGAAAGGGGGACACAATAGATCTCTAAGGTCGCAGAGATTAAACCCCCTCCCACTTATTCTAATTCTAATTCTAATCTACGACGGATATTCATACATATCAGTCAATAACTGGCCTACGATTATAATGAGTGGTTTGAAAATTAGCGAAATGAGTAATTTTACAAACGACGGAATTATAGCTATGATTAGACATTTTTAAACATTTTTTTTAGATAATTTATGTTGTAATATTTTATCTTACAACTTATTTTGCAATAACTGATTATTTAGACATGCATTGTAATAGATCCAAGAAAAATCACTATTAACTAACTAGGTTTTTAAAATATATTTATTACAATTGAACAAATTTAAACATGAAAATATTGCATTTTGTACATACTACCAAGAACTAGGTAATTTTGAAAGCTGTTGGAACATAGGTATTAAATATTTTATGACTTTTCTGATTAGAAAGTCATCCTAGAGGAAGTCAAAAAGTGAATATTTGTGCAATTTTGTTTGTAAATTCTAAATTTCTTCTTAAAAGAGTTACGTTTTAAAAAATATTCAGAAATTATTATTTCAAGAAATTTGTTACGAGTAGAAAAAATACCGTGCTGTGTTGGAATTTGACAAATAAATAAAGCTGTCTCTTTAGTTGTCAGTTTTGAGTCAATATTTTTTTATTCTCTTTCGTGTCGATTGCTGATTGAATTAGAGCCAGAAATGGCTCAAAACGAAATAACTAAATTACGAACAGATATTCAGGCTGAGGCGACAAACGCCATATCCAAACTACTTCCATTTAAATCCCGAATAACTTATGAAAAGGAATACAAAAATTTTCAAAAATGGAAGCAATTAAAAAACGTGCGAGAAGAAATAAAGTTTTTAACCTATCCTCGCTGTTAAAGTATCATTTAATCTACCTTTGCGGTTAAGTACTATTTTATCATGATACAAAGAATACAAGGTATGATATTGCGCAGGTTGGTCACTACGTCACAGGTGATAAACGGCACCATTGGTCGGCAAGCTCTGCGCGCCAATTTCAAATTGTCAAACAGATTGTGTCATCTGTGAAATTTGATTGTGTCAAAATGTGAAAATAATTTTTCAAATGTCAAGCTCGATGATTTGACATAACTTTTGGGGTTATGTCCTAATTCTTCCCTATTTTAGGTCTTTTTCTATTAGTGGCAATTGAACAATATGGATATTTTTTGTATGGCGTATGACGTCACAGGTGGTATGCGCAAACTTAACGAAATCGGGGCCGCTATCGATCATACCTTGTTTTCTTTGTACCATGCTATTTTATCTACTATTTTTGATAGATATAATGCAATTTTAACAGTTGCTATGGAAAAAAATAAAACTTTTGTGTCGTTTGAAAAATAAACTATTTTTGGCTGCATCCCGTATTTTATCCTTTATTAAGGGAAAGTGGAAAAAAAACTCAAAATTACTTTAATTATTTTTTCGTGTTGTCGTTTTGAAAAGTTCAAGTGCGTTTGTGTCGTGAAATACTAGAATTAGAATCCTCCGTAGCTAGTAATTAATATTAATTGATGCTATAAGTACAATGGTAAAAGACCAGTTTGTCTATGAGGCCGGAAACTAGACAAAAATTAGACATATAGACATATTTCCCAATCAATTGACCTTTTTTTTCTTGTTTTTTTTTCTTAAAACGTCTACCAAACAAGTATCGATAAACCTTGAATATCAGGATCTTCTTGCTTTGAAATTGTTGACAATGTTATTAATACGTTATAATTTATTAATATGTTTTTTGTTGACTAAAATTTATTTAATGAAAAATAAGCCTGTCTTTAATCAATTAGAAGTTTGAATCGATTAGATGAATGACGAATACGTTTTATCATGGGCGCCGGAAGAATGAAATGTAGGGGGGGGCAAGGTAAAAATTAATAAAAAATTGACATTTTTGGTAATTATTGGTAAATCTGGAAATCGTCCGATTTTCACCAAAATTGGTATACACCCTATTTTGAAGTCGTAGATTACGATCTGAACTTTTTTCTTGGCGGTCTCTTACCGTTTTTCAGAAAAACGGAAAATAATTTCAATATCGAATTTTTCTTAATTTCTCATATTTTTAAGGTTTTCTAGCACATATTTTGTTAGGTATTCAATAATCAATAATGTTTTTGCTATTTTCTGTTACTTTTTTAACCAATTCTATGCATAATAGAGGAAAATTTGCTAAAATAAATTTGTAAACAATCTGAAAATGTTAGGTTATAGCTTTGTTCGAGTTCTTGTTATTACCGATTCTGAACCGTCCAAGAACTCTGCAGCGCATGCGCGAATGAAATAATGTCTTCGTATTTCCTTCTGCGCATACGCATCATAGTTCTAGGACGGTTCAGAATCGGTAATAAGAGAAACCCGAAGTAAGCTTATGTGTTTCTGGCGTTTAAAGCAACGTTGCCAATGCTAAACATAAATTTAGCGTGTTTTTTTCGCTCATTCTGGAATTACGAAAGGCGGTCGCCAGAAGGATGGCTCCTTCCCATAACTGCTATTTTATCAACGAGATCTGACTATTTATACCCACGAAGTTGCACGAAAGAGTTTTGATTGCATTGGTTACAACTTCCATGCAGAGGGTGATAATCTTTTGTTGTTATATTATTAGATTAACTAAAAGAAGATTAACCCCCTCCGCAAAGAAGAAAAACCAATGCAATCAAAACTCTTCCGAGTAATTTTGTGGAAATAGGTGTATATTTAATTATTGTCGATCTCATAATAGGTAATTTATTTAAAATCCCTAATCACCCGAAAAAATAGAAGATATGGCAACGTTGTAAATTTTCAAATTTCTAGATTAGGTCTAGAATATATTTGTCTCTCTTATTACATAGGAGAGAGAAAGAAGGATATATCAAATGTCAAACTTCCATCTGGTCTCAATTTTCTTTGCTATTTTGTTAAGAAAAGTGTTTTTTAGTAAAATGTTAGACACTTTTCTATCCCCAATCAAGTGTGGCTTTTAGATAAACTATAATATAATGAAAATATAGTGAAATTTTTACTTTATAGGGCCGAAATAAAAAAAAAATTCAATGTTGAAATAATTTTCCGTTTTTCTGAAAAACGGTAAGAGACCGCCAAGAAAAAAGTAGATTCGTAATCTACGACCTCAAAATAG